CACTGCAGCATGTGAGAGCCAGCAGGTTTGTGGGCTTTGAACCTGCCCTGCACACGCCGCAATTTGTGGGGCTCCCACAACGTTAATGAAGAAATGAGCCACCAGAGCTGGTTGAGGTCATTCAAACTCCTGAACAGCAGGGAGTACAAATAACGTCTTCCCACTCTGCTTGTGGAGGGGAGCTGGTCAGATTAGGTGCAGAAGAAGACACAGACCAAAGCTCACAGGAGCACAGCTCAGGATCACTGAGCAAGGGACAGACTGGGAGCACTGGGGAAAACAGGGCTTGGCTCTGGACGCAACTTAGGAGACTGGAGGAATTAACTGTAGGCTGCTCCTTGCCGTAAGTAAATATTGCAGCAGAGGGTGCCAAACATCAACGGGCAGCTTTAACCTTTTCACAGCTTTTAACAAAACAGGATTGAGATGGTCGGAAACATTAAAGAAAAGAGTGTCATTTGTGGATGAAGGATATAGTAAAGGACTCAGACATACCAGCTGTTTCTCATGCCCCTGTGGTTCCTGCAAGCAGTACAGCCATCAAGGGTAGGGACCATAGATCTCGACTGCTGGTTCCCTCCCTGCTTTTTCAGAAGCTTTGCCCTCCAAGCCTTTCCAAGCATGGCATTTCTCCTCTGTGCGTGGGCAGAACAGACAGCAGCAGAGCAGGCCAGCGCAGCCTTGACCTTTGGCCAGCCAGGATAACACCTCCGCTATGGCTGCTGCAGCTGCTCCTGCGAGCATGAGACTGTCCAAAACGTCCCTCTTGCTGGTAGAAACCTAGGGAATTTGCTGAAAAACAAACCCATGTTATTACTGAGTTTTAGCTGCCGCAGGGTCTCGTGTACCCGTCTGTGGGACAGAGCATACTGCGGTCCTTTTGCTAGTGGAAAACTCATGTTCTGGGACTACTGCAAGCTGCCTGTGCCATGCCTCATCCGACAGCATTGTGCCACAAGAGTAATGTTAGACCTGTTCAAGCTGATTTTCTTTCACTTTTTTTTTCTTGTCCCTAATGTTAATACCTTCACTTCCAAATACAGGTTACCCTTTAGTACTATGCTTTTCCTTGGCTCTCATGAATCAGTAGCAGCCTGTAAATCACTTCTATCCAAAGGCAAATTGCTACCAGCACAAACTACGCAACTAGCCACTCTCAGGATCTACGCGGGTCTCAGGACACACAGACATCTTTCTTTTGAAAGGCAGGGGCAGGGAACCAGCAGATCGGCTCAAAGTCCCTTCCCTAAAACAAGAGAAAGTCCCATTCCCCTTATCTTAAACATGGCATTATTATCAAGTTTCTCTGACTAATTCTCTTGCCATTCATTACTGCTCTGCCCAGCAGAGAGAAAGTACCTGGCATGCGTTTGGCGATGCCAGCTCCTCAGATTGCCAGGCGTCTTAAATTTTTATTGAGCGTCTCAAATATTTCCTGGTTTACAAAAGTTCTTGTCTTCCTGGTGCTCTAAGAAGTTGTAAGACACCTCTGGGAAGCCACAACTGTGAGCTAATGGAGATTTATTTTTCCAGAGTTCCAATGTTTTCCTAATATGTATTTAACAAAACAGCCATGACCTGCTCAAAGGAGCTCTAAATTTGTTGTGTAGGTAGAACTAAATCTAAAACAAGGAGCAAAGTAGATGACAAAAGTGGGCATTGTACAGCAAGATTCCGAGAACTGACTTTATTCAGCAGATCAAGTAATCCATACAGTTATATGTAATATACAAATGTAGCCTGTTGGCTGCTGCAGATATCCAATATACTAATTACAGTCAGGGGAAAAAAATAATTTAAATTAATCTAGCTTTTTTCATTACAGAGACTTAAAATATTTAAATGGGAAAATATGTGTTGGCCGTTAGCTACATTATTTAAAAGATAGCTCAGCACAGAGAAATCAAATTTTACTGCGGGTCTTACATGAAGTTCTTTCTTTACTTAATTTAGCATACAGAAGAGCTGTAAAAATGCTAAGCAGTATAAACACTAAAAAATGTTGAGATTAACAAAGGAATAAATTTTCCTGTCACATCTAAACATTGTTATCAACTGAAAGTTAAGAAATAATTGATGTAAGTATGTGAGTAATACTAATCTTTTTTACAAAAGCCTATCAGACTTTCTTCTGCATATACATGCAGAGCTGCAAAAAAGTGCTACATGCCCAACATAAGCATTTGGGTGACTTAAGAACAAGATGTTTCAAATCTCTCCATTTATTATTCCTATAATTTTATGAGGGTTAAGCTTTGAAATAAGACCAAAGTGGGGCTCCCTGAACTTTGGGAGAGTAAAAGATATCAGGTCTTGACCCATCTTTTAGGCTTTAGCTCCAAAATCTAGCGAAAACTCGGTTTTGTTTCCGTGACTGAGATGTTGAATTTTCAGCTCTTCCTCAGCTCTCTGTCTGCATTGGCCCTCAGCTACAACTTGCATTCTCTTTTTACCCTTCTGGCCTTTTCTCTACAAGAAATGTTCACTCCTCTCTCTTAAAATACCAATAATTAAATATCAATCTCATCTTTAAAGGAAAATGGGGAGAAAAATAGGACAAGAAATTTAGTTTTTACAACATTTTTTGGTTAAAATGCTTCCTTAAAATAATGACTAAACTTAAAGATCTCTGCAGCCAGCTGACAACAGGAATAAAGTCAATTGGAAATATTCATGACACATTTCGCACGAACTTGAATTAATTTTTACCTCATTACTTTCAAATTAATTATGTTACACATATCAGACTCCTCCTGGCGCTTTGCTAACATCTGGATGCACATATTACCCTTGTTTTAATTTTTACACAAATGCCTGTATGCTCTTTTGGACCAAGTGATTATTTTGTTGGACAAGTCTGGATGTTCTTTTGGTCTACTCAGGGGAATTTTGGTTGTTTCTGTCGTTAATTTGTCACTTCCTTCCCACTAGAAGGAACACTTTAGTTAACTCCTACATAAATATAAGAGGAAGTATTAATTACCATTAAAGTTCTGCTAGTAGTACCTGAAAAACATCAGGTATCAAGGAAGTAATAACTACAGCTTTATTAAGAAAGACCAGTAGGCTGAACAACATACACCCAGGACTTACTGTCCTGCTTTTTCTCTTTACAGCCTTAAATTATTATCCCGTGGCCTATCTATTCTACCATCTCACATTATAGAGAGCTGGATCCTCCTCTAGGTTACTTAAGATTTCTTTTCCAATAAAAAACAAATTTTGCTTCCTTCAGCAACAAAAAAGCTTTTTTCAAATCAAACTGGATGTATGAGTGCTGACCTACCTTTGAAAAGATGCAAAAGTTATTTTAGACCTAGGGCAGAAAAATATGCAGATAATGCTAGAAATGAAATTTCATCAAAATAATATTTCTCTTTAATCATTTAAGTTATTTGCATCCAGGATCTCAGAGGAATAGTTCCCACAAGAGAAGACAGTTGTAACCAGTTGCAGATAAAGATGCAGTTGCAGATGAAGCCTGTTTGATCCCAATAAGTTAGCTTTATCCTTGGTCATACAGTATTGTGGAAGCCACTGTATTGATCAAACAGTTGGTTAAGTAACAAAGATTTCCAGGAAAGAAAACTACATTTCAACCAGTGCTGAAGTTTACACTTTATGCAATACATGTGAACAATTTTAAACATGATGAAAAGGAAAGGGAGAAAGGAAGTCCAAATATCTGAATGTGATTGCTGGGAAAACCATTGTGGTCTATACATAACTTCAACTTGTCACACATGGTATTCTGCCTCTGGAAGCAGCTACATTTAAAAAAGAAAGAAAATGCTTACTTAAATGCAAAAGCTTGTCCAAAAGTTTCTGAAACATTTCTTTCAAGGTGTTAAGTAAGGCTCAAATATCTGTTGGAGTCAACCTTCATTGAACCAAATCAGTGCAATCTGCTGGTGGATACAAAACGACCCCGCTAAACTGAGCTCCTCACTGTATCGAGGGTCACTTCTAACTTCTGTCACATACATCTGTAATGGTAAGAACTACATTCACCACAGATCAACTGAGCTGTCATGTGCCAACTGACCATTTCCCAAATTTTCAGGGGGTTGATGTTCTGTGTCATAACAACAACGTTCACCAACTTTGTGTTCCTCTTTGTGAGAGAGGAAAGTTACCATTCATCACTACTGGAACAACGATAATTATTCTCAGAAAACATTCCTGTTTCTAAAATAGTCTATTATGTGGTCTTCTCTATACTAAGGACAGCTGTTTCTCTTCCTCTTTCCTCCCTGACAAATTATACTTACACAGATGCTTATTTTAAATCTTTTCATAATACTATTTTTCCATATAAACAGTTCCTGTAGAAACTATATGCATGCTATGAGTTGGAGAGGGAAGGAAAAGCTGTTTGGTTTATGCATATACAATGAGGTGGCCCTCTCTCTTTCAAAAAACTTGGTGCACTTTGCAAAAAGGTTTGACAGCAGCTGGTCCAGCTATTCTGATAGCCCCATGAGAACATTTTGTTCAAGCTCCTGTCACTTACATCCTCAAACGTTGACTAAAACCTTCAAGAAAGAAGGTATTTTCTTATACCTATTCTGAATGCAGTTAGTGAAATAAGCAACTCAAGTCTAAACTAAGGTTTAGAATTTTGAAAATTATTCTTTTCAGTCCCAACAGTATAAAGTTATAAGATTTTTTGGAGTAGCTTATTAATAAACTGCATTGTGTCAAAGTAGGATTTAGCTGTATTGTAGCAATACCCATATCATTAAATTATCTGCTGATACCAATTAAAAGATCCTCACTGAAGTCCAATTAGAGGCGCATCATTCACCTCAGTGGAACACTTATTCTAATTGAAATCCATACATCCTGTTGTAGATTGGGTTTTGCTGGATAGAAAAGGAACCACAGACACGAAAAGAGAATCAGCTGACTTCCTAGTCTCCCTGTTTAATTTCATTTGTAGAGAAGATAAATCATCCATGGATTCAAATAAATGTACAAGCATAATTCCCCTTACGTTATTCAATTGTGCTTCAACAAAACAACAAAGTGAGTGTTAGAAACATTCTAATCTCATGTGCATCACAGTGGCTGTATATGGTACATCAGAACAATAATACTGAAAAATCACAAAGCACATCGTAGACTAGACAGAATAGTTTTCACTTGAATTTAATGAGTCAGTAATCATAACGTAAGACAAATTAAATCATAGCTTACTGAAATTCTCCATTCTGAAAACAGTACTAATGCCACAATGAGTCCTCGAGTTGCAGCTAACTGTCTGAGATGATACAGCATGCTCCATCAGTTGGTTCAAAAAATGGTAGAAAAAGGCTAAAGCCACATTATACTGTCAAATATATACTGATGGCAGAAGAAAAATGCTTTTAGAGATAGATACTCTGATAACTCTCAGAACGTACAGTACTTTGTATCAATAGTGAGACTGAGGCAATGATGAAGAAAAGTTACAGATCAAGAACTAAAGGCTACTTGTGTGTAAGGGAGCTCATTCACCTAAATAAGGACTGCTGGGTTTTAGATCGGGAACTCTACCAGTATAATACTAGAAAAATATATTTAAATTACTTCACAATAATGATTTCAGCAAGAAACTTAATCCCAACAGGACTATGATTTCCTTTCAAAAGGATTAATAATATTGCATCACTAATGACGATTTTGTATTCAAAATTGTTTCATGCCAGCACAAAATCTTTGGAGGGGGAGAAATCTCACTAGTATCCATTTTATTGTCCTATCCAGACTCTGTGGGCCATGTCTAGAAAGCAGACTATCAATCACTTTGAAGGAAGCACTGAAGCAATACTGCGCCTTTTCTGCAACAAGTTCCTCTTCCTATTGATGAGTGACCATACGTAATGGCAGTTCTGTGTTATCAATCTGCTTTTCCCTCCACTCTGATCTCTTAGCATGAGCTTGCAGTTTTACATGCATTAAGCAGCTCAAATGCTGAATTTTTAGGAATCCTAAAAAGACAAAGCAGAAGAAAGCATTCACCAGCGGGGTAATGTCCAGCAGGGCCACTCCGGGCTGACTCCCATGTCATTGGAACCCCAGTAAGCACATATATATATCTGCAGATCCACCATCCAAAATGACCTTATCCTGTCTCTGTTTGAATAAGAAGGCTGGGGTACTCCGCCTCCTGCAATCATAGGCTTGCACCAGGAAGGAGCCCTGCCAGGGTTGGTCGTCTCCTAAGGGGTGCAGGTCCTCTGAAAGGGATCCGATGGCAGAGGCAGAATTCAACATCATATCTCCCAGGTCCATTGGTAAGAGCCCTCTTCCACACTGTTAGAGGAGAATCACTACTCCTTATATCCAGCCTCATGACCCGATGTTACATGAATGAATAAGAAAATAAATATGGATACCGGCTGATTTGGGGCAGGAGGAGGCTGGGAGTAGCTGCTACACAAACCTTACAACTTCAGGTATTATGACAGGTCTTGAAAATTTCCATTTTCGTAGTGGTAAGGAGTCTGTTCTTCCATGTCTTGAGTTACTTGCTTTTTCTTTCTCCATTCCCTTGGCTGTACTTCACTGTTTTGACTGGTAGCACCATACATTTTCTTTGGACTTACAAAAGTTTCATTGTTCATCTCTGTTTCTTCAGCGAGTTCATCTTGATCAATTATTCCACATTTCTCTTCACTGAGGCTTTCGGGGTCAGCCCATTCCTGCTTCTACCCAGAAGCAAAGATAGCATAGAATATCACTCCGCTGTAATGCACCAGGGCTGCGATCAGAAAGACGTTTTGCCATTCTTCACGGGTCTGAAAGAATGGTGCAGGTCTCATTAGGTTTGCAGTAAAAAGAAATATTAATATCTGAATTGGACCATGGATTAGCACATACTGACCATGACTGTGATCACTGTTTGATTCATGATGTTACAGATATAATATTTTCTGAAAGTCATTGAAATTTTTTTCCTTCTTAATATAACAATGGGTAATAAAACAGAGCAAGAGGATTTTTTTTTTTTCTCACAGTGAAGTTTCTTTCTGACATGTGAAATATTCATGGAGCTGGAAATGCAGGGCTCTCACTAACTGCTAAATTAATCCTATCAGAGATCAGTGATTGCTTAGGAACCCTACAAGAGCTGCATTGCAGAGGAATTTCTCAAGTCTTTTAAGCGTTCAGAGGCTCAGTTCCAACGGTATAAAATAACATCACCCCACCCAGATAATTAGTTTATAATAGCTGAGAATCTGGCTCCAGTGCTGTTGTAAAAGTGAATGTTTAAAGCAAACAACAAAAACAGAAAGCACCTGCAGAGATCGATGGTGAAATAACGTTCCCAGGAAGCTTTGAAATGGCTTAACTTTTGTCCCATAACCTAATGCTTTTCCTACAAAAACACAGAGAAATGTTACCTTATGTTTAGTCATTGCACCAACAATGAGGGGGCACACCATCCCCGACAGCGTCCCCACACCGTTGGAGATTCCCATCAAAATACTGGCATAACGTGGGGCTATATCCAAGTGATTCACATTGAATCCTGTAACAAACAAAGACAAGTCAACTGTATCCTTTTGTGCTACCAGGCCAACATGGCTTTTTTTTAGCCATTCTGACTGAAGGAGGTTGAAACAGGTATGGAATGTCATACCTTATCTACCAGAAAGAAGCATGGCATTTTCTTGGGAATAACGACGGAAGATATGTTGCAACTCTCTATTCTTTTTCAAAACCCCTTCTTTCCCTCCCTACTGGGACCGTGTTATATAGAAAATATCATTTGGTTTGGCTTCTTGGTAGTTTAAAGCACCTGTACATCTCATCTCTTCACACTGAAATGAAGCACTTGGCAAACATTTTTATTCAATGACTGAATTCCTTATGTTTGTCAAATGCCTTATATCGTTTTCATTTAGGTAGCAGTGTCTGAAAAACGTGTTTTCTAGTACTTTAAGTAGCAGGTTAACAACATGCTAAATAACCAGCATATAAACCAGTAGTAAAATGAATTACCCTTACTGTAGCATAGCTATTGGGTAAATATTTTATTAAAAAATAAAATAAAAACAGTAAAAATCCAAGACCATTATCATGCTTTACGTAACGAAAATTAGTCATACGAGCTGTGGATGATCATAAGAAATCATGATTAATTCCAATTCCATGGGATTAAATACAAAAAGTCTGAGTACTGGGAAAACCCTTCAATAAAAACAGATTGATAGAAAATGGCCTGCAAGCACCTCACAACTGACTAGCAGAACTACTTCCTGTCAATGTAACTCTGAAAAGACTGAAGACCATCAGTTGCTTTGCCCCTTTCAGTTACTGAGATAAAACAAAACCTCACTTATGGTGAGCAAAATTCTTTTTCTCTGACATGGTCAGTAGATCCATCTCTTTGGAGACCCACCAATTGATGTCCTTCTATCTTCATAATAAGCTTTCTTTTTAATAGCAATGGTACTGATGGAGCTGCAAAAGTCAATCAGAGACTGGTGAGCCCCATGAAGAGGGTAGAAATAGCTACTCTGGAGATGGAGCGTTTGTAGGACGCAACAGAGGTGGAACTGGCCTAGGAAGCAGAAGCTGGCAGCTAGGGCAGCGAGCTGGCAGCTGATATGCTTTGAGCAGGTATTTATGTTCTTCCAGAGTAATTTCATCTCCCTCCTTTTAGGGATACTGTTTATGGAAGAATAAGAGGCAGCTGCCACTGTAAATGTGTATCAGAATCCAAACAACACAAAGCTAATGTAAACCTGAAACAATAAAGGGCAGGTTCTTCCAAAACTTCATGTCCTACATGTGATACATCTCATAGAAACTGAAGTAAATTATTTCCAGGATGGGAAGAAATAGGGAATAGCCCATAAGCAGCCATGCTAAGAGCTAACAGAATAATAACACTGTTATTAATAATAATAAAACCAATAATAAAATCAATAATAAGATGAATTCTTACCTGAAATTGCAAAGCCACTGAATCCCACTGCTAACACCAGAAAGGAAATAGCCACACCTCTTGTATGAGAGTAACCAACCACCAGAAGCAAGGTTGCTTCCATCCCAAAGCCTTCAAATGAAACAAACAGGAATAAATTACATTCTAATTAATATTAGTCAAGGAAATACCAATAAGGTCTAGCCATATAGCGCCTTAAAGTGACTCAAAGATCTTTGAGGTGTCATTGCTATTCTTGAACACATTTGTCATTCTTGTGGATTCACGGAAATATTTGAATATTTGTTGTTTGAAAATGTACTTTTTTCTCCTCATTGCTGTGTAAATGACCTAAGCAACTGGGGAAGTTAACTCACTGACCAGTACAGGGAAACAAGAAAGTGAGCCTGTGCAAAGTGCTATACAATTCATGAAATGCACAAACATGTCAGGGAAAGGAGAAAATTACTTCTTCCCTTCAATTTTTTTATTGCTGTAGTGACATGAGATATTCTTGGTAAACGGAACAAATGAGCGTTTTTCAGACACGTGTGCCATCAACATGATAGGACATCCTTGAGTGTCACAGGGAGCTAGCAGCAGCTAGCCTCTGCCATTATTACGAATTAAAATTTTCTAATGAGTAATATAACAAACCTTCTATTTAATTTTTTTGAATGGCGCTGAAAACACCCCCTGAAAACAGAATTAATCTGAGAATCCTTTGTGAAGATGTATAGCAAAGATGTGTGGCATCTCTAACTGCAGGCATCTCTTCATTTCAGGTAGGCTATGCCATCCTTAAATAATGAAAGTTGGGAACTGGCAGAAGAGACTGACTCCACAGGCTTGAAATTTTTGTTTTAATTTAGTATCTTCCACTTATGTATAGATATCATTGATTTTTCAGTTCAGTGGCTGAACTGGATACAAATTGTTTAGTTCTGACTAAAAATAATTCTCACTCCATTATTTTCCCCCTATCCCACTCACCTAGACTTGCCAGTGGGTTCCCCTGAAAGTAGCAAACAGGAACGCGGCCACTTAGTGCAAGGTGGTATCCACTGGGAAGGGTCTTTCCAGCACGACTATATGGCAGAATGAGGCCTATTTTATCACACAACACATCTGCCAGTCTTTATTGCTCTTCTAATTATTACCTAGGCTTCTTGCCTCCTCCTTTTCTAAAAGATGCTGTAAGGGTTGTTCATGTGGTTAAGGATTTATGGCATGAAGACATCTAACATCAGCTCTTCTATTTTCCATTTAATGTTTCAGATTAATCAGCTGCCAATGCAATCTAGAGTAATTTGCCTCTTGTTACAATTAAACATGGGCCAAACTATGATATCTGAATCAACTGCAACCCACAACTGAAATATCGTATTTTCAGAATCCAACAGTACCTCCACAATTCATGACCTTCCTTACAGTGGTAGTGGTTAAAATCTTCCTGCTCCGTAAGAAATCAGCTAGCTGCCCTCCAATGGGCACAATGATTGTCATGACCATGTGAGGAAGTGCAGACAAAAGGCCAACCTGCAATTACACAAATAAGTGCTTACTGATCATGTCTTCCCTCAGGATGTGGGGGAAAGAGGAGCGGAATGGTATTTTTTGTTCACCTCTTCTTTTTTCCCATCAGACACATTTTTAGCACAGATTCTAGTGTGAAAGGGTTGCAGACTCTTCCTCCAACAGGACTGACAGCAAAGGTCTGAGTGACCTTAAGCTATCTCTGTCCCATCTTGAGGGACTTCTAGGCATCTGAGAGACTCCAGCAGGTTCCCATCTGGGCAGAGGCGGCCCTCCTTCTGGTGCCTTCCCAGCAGTGGCAGTCTGTACACCCAGAAGCCACTTGCTTTAACCTCACCCTTGCTTTAACTTCTCTGCTGGGGCTTGTGAGATAGGACGCAGCTCCCATGGCCAAAGCCTTTCCTCGGCCAAAAATCAAGCTGGTGGGACCAGCATGCACTTGTGCATTCTTCAGCCTTTAAGCACCTAAACCGCTATGCAAACCAGACAATTAGCATCTCTGGGCCAGTGGTGCAGGATGGTCATCCCCAGGGCAGAAGTATAATTTAGGCACTTTGTGTTGCTCTCTACATCATCCTTTCTCCAGCTCCAAGAGTGAGAAGCAAGTCCTGGGGGCAGCAGGACAGATACGAGAAGCCAGCGGTGCAACTCACCAGCTACAAGAAAGGTCACAGCCTAGCAGGACTAGTGAGTCTGTAGCCCCCAGGACCATGCTCTGCCCTGGGAAGTGGAGCCTACAGGATGCTCCTCACAGTGCCAGCCACTGGCCACTCACTGTTGCTGGTAGATGGGCAGGGTCAGAAATGTGTTTTGTTCACTACGTGGGTCACATAGTACTCTGCCCAGAGGGGCAGTTAGTAGTTAGCCCCTGTTAGAAAGCTGGTCCATGCAGAGCATCCTATGGCTGCCAGTATCTGGGTCATCAGTGAAGAGGGAAGTACCTAGGCACCTTCCTTCACTTGTTACTTTTTTTCCTTCTTCCTTCCTTCCCTCCTTCTCTGAAGTAGAAAAGAGCTGGCAGGGTTTTTCCCTTCTCCTTCTATTTCCTTCCTCCCAGTAGGAAAAGCTCTGAGATATTGTAACTACACAAGGAGTACAGGGAAGGGACCCAAGCTATAACGAAAAGGAAAAAGAGAAAACAGTCTAAAAAGTCTGAAACTTGAGCTCTGAAGGAGTTTTTCCTCTCTCCAAAGACCATCAAAGGAGTACAGGAAGGTTGGGCTCTAATTTAGCTGGTTAAAGTAGACACCCAAAGCTGTGTGATGAGAGTATCTCCCCATGGTCCAGGAGGAAAAGCCAGAGCACATGAGGATCACACCTTAGAAATGTCAAGCAATATCCCTGTTCTGCAGTGCTTACGCTAGGAGAGATATATAGAATACTGTTAATACTGTTGTCTAATGCAGACATCCTGTTTTATAAGGTGTTCTGATAGTAGACTGCTCTGTCTTGTTTTTCAAGCACTTTTATAAATTTTTAGTAGTCATGTTCTTAAGGAGCTCTGTTTGGCATAGCAAATCTATCCCTGTCTCCTGCCACTGTTTAAATAAAGGCAGCACCTGCACATTGTATATCAAGTAATGACCACAGAGCATAAAAACGGAAGTTATGATGGAATTTTACAATGGTTAATTAATCATATGTTTGAAGTTATGCATGTCTTTTATTCTTGTGGGATTAAGGCCTACCAATTGATGCTCATCTCCCTTCATTTTCTGACAAGGGGTACTTACTTTTTCTGTTAGCTCTGGTACTTACGCCAGATACCCCAAAAGACTGTACTTTGCAGACTTTTAGTGACCAGCATGTCATCTACTAGAGGATTTTCTTTGGAGGAATTTGAGTTTATTTTCTAGGATGTGAAACCTCCTTACATTAACCATGAATCAGTTTTATGTTTTAATTAGTGACGTACATACAGGTGCAACATATGAAAGGCTACTTTAGAATAAACAAACCTATTTTGTCCTTAATTCTCCTGTTCTTCATACCAGTGCCACGCTTGGCCATTCAGAGTGTCACTGCTCATGACAGCACTGCAGAATCTAGGCTTGACAGTACTCCCAGATCGCAAGGATAACGATATTGTTTGATATTAATTTGCAGAATTATACTTACTCAAAAATAATTTATGACGCAGCAAATAGTTTTTCAAGGAATGTTTGGAAAGCTTTCTGGAAAAATTACTTTCCAGTCCTTTTTCACGCTCTGAAGGAGTGTGACTGGCTTTAATGAAGTAGCAGCTAATATCAATTCATACAGAAGTTGACCCCTGATTATCAGTGCTGGCCAAGCAGTGGGGAAAAAAAAAAAAAGAAAGAAAGATAATTGAGATGAAAAATACCTGGCAAATATTGCTAAACTGCCAGCAGTAAACAAAATGTTTATTTACCTAGCTTATAGGTTTTGTGATGTGGTCCTTTTCTATCAACGCTCTTTTCCAAGGCAAACTTTTCATATCTTTCCATTTGCTAAGAATTTGATGCATGTAAGTAGGCATGTATATCAGATCTCTAGAGGTTTATCATCCCAACTACTTGGAATACTCAACAGTAATGACTCCAGCCAGATCGGGGGCTCCTCAAGCACTCCACATCTCCTCAACTACGGTCTGAAGGCCACTGCTTCAGCTCTGACATTTACCTTACTTATTGCAAATCCAAAGACTTCTTCAAAGTAAGCAGGCTGACTTATAAGGAGCAAATAGAAGGTCCAGCTTCTGCAGAAGTTTGCCACAATGATTGCATAAACTGGCATTGAAGTGAAAAATCTCTTCCAGGGAGTGCTAAATTTCTAGAAAAGACAAAATTGAAGACAGAATAAAGACATAACCCAATTCACCTTCAGTTTCAGAACTACAACTGACTTCACTATGTCACATCCAGTTTAGGTGTCTCCTGGGTTAGCGTTAAAAGATAGGTAGAGAAATTTTCTTTGAATAGATCGATGTTTAAGATGCCTCCTATACTGTTGTTGCTCTGCTCAGTAAAACCACACAAGACCTTCTGGAACCCTGTTACTGGGATAACAGGATCAATAACAGGATCAAAGAAAACTAGAGAAAACCTTGTTACGTCCCCCACTTTTTGGTATGATACAGTTTGAGACATTCCATTGAAAAGATTGTGAAAAAAAAAGAATTCCCCAAACAAAGAAACAGGGAGTAGCTCAGCAACAGGCAGCCACCTGCTTCAACCTAGTCCATCTCATTCAGCAAAATAAGTCTGTGGTAAAAGATGTAATTTATATATCTTGCTTTTGGCATTTCCAGTTTCTATTTATACTTCAGTAATCCATGCAGCTGGGACAAAAGCACTTCAGAGCCCTGTCCACTTATACTAGAACTCAAACCAGAAGCTAAGTAAAATGTGTAACTATGGCAATGTACATATATGTTATTTAAATTGGTGGTTGCATACTGCAGGCAACTATGCACAAGGTCATTTGCACACAATAGTGGTACTGGTATCCATTGCAGTAAAACTACTATACAGGAAGAGCAAAGCTGTGACCTGCAATGAGCGTGTGTCTCCAACCGAGATCTGAGTGACTTTAACGAAATGTCAGGAACATGCCCAAAAAGAGAATCTTATACTTTATACCGTCACCAAGGCTGTTACCGTAAACGTAAAGAGGAAAAACAGTTTGGAATGATTTTGCTCCAGAATGTTCAAGAATAAAAGCCAAGAAAGAACAGTCAATCAAGCCACTATGCAAAAACACCACTAGCAAAAACAAGTTACCTAAATGAATGGAAAGAAGCTTTATTGAAAAGTAGGTTTTAGTTTTAAGCTTCCAGGATATTCTTTAAAAAAAGGGAGGGAAGGGAGGAGTCTGAAAACACTGAGCTGGGCTGCAGGAGCAGGCCAGAAGTCCTGGGCAAAGCCCTCAGAATTTCCATCACCATTAATGGGAACCCAAAAGGCAGCTGGGTGATTTAACATGTGGAGCCAATTTCTTATTGAGGTATTTCCATTAATATTTTTAGAGCAATCCTGATAACTACTCCAAAATAAGAGATCAGTGAGCTGTTCCCCCTCTCTCCTCGCTCCCTTCCTCTCACTAGGTGAAGAGGTCTATAAGCTGAGAGCTGAAAGAGCACTGAATTTCTGTCTGTTGCTGAACTCTTTCCATCCAGCTGCATGAGCCTGATCCCGCAACCTTTAAAAAAGGAAAAACCTCTATACAGTGACAGGAAATAGCTGCTACTCTTATGCAGCAAACACTGTCCATCCAATTATTAAGCTGATCTTCTCCAAAGTGCTCATAGATTGTAGCTAGTCACTGAAAAGCCTTTTTTACTTACATTTGCACTAGCTAGACTGGCTCCTTCTCCTATACTTGTTTCTATATATATCTTTTCTTCACTGGTTATTGTTGGATGTGCTGCAGGGCTCTCATAGGCATGAAGCAGCCAGAACACGTACCAAACAATCCCAAACATTCCTGGAGAGGTGAGAAGAGAAAAGCTGGGTTTTAAAAGCCAATAAATAAAGCCACACTTCAGTATCTGCAGGCCTTACAGTTTATTTCAAGAGCCAGTTAAGCCAAATCTGAGCAGAAAATACGCCCAGGTAAGTCAGAAAAAATGATACTTAAGTCTGTATTTATTGCATGCCTGTTTGCATAGTGTTTGAGCGTTCAGTTGCTCCTATTACACGGTAAGTGTCGGGTAGAGAAAAGGCAAAAGCAAAGCTTTGTGTGGGGCCTGGGGAAAGATAAAAGCAGACTGATCATAACATGGTCACAGTCTGTATAAAAGGACTTAACAATCAGATTTTGATGGCAAAACTTATGGTGCGGTCTGTGTTTCCAGAGAAACCAGCTCCTCATCTTAACTGGATCATTAATGTGCGAGGCTGGGTTTGTGCATGCCTACAGCCTTGGAGCCAGCTCTGCCTCGTACCCCGGAGGGAAGCGTTGAGGCATCGCAACACCATCACGAGGCCCAACCAGTGTGATGGGACCATTCTCTGAAGGTGGCACTGCTTTTACCAAAGGTGAGCAGTGCGGGCCAGATTTGTCAGGACAGCAGGCACCAGAGGCATCAGCCTCCCCATCAGCAGCATATGCTGTAGTGTGCACTCTGGGACACATGACAGGTGAGTGCCCGTGCTCCTGAGCCACCTTCACAACATAACTGCATCCCACCCTGTCACTGGGTGACCACAGGATGTAGCCTGGTTGTTATAAAGTGTTTTACAATAGGTTACGAAATGAAAGTTTACAGAAGCTACAAAAAGCAGAGAGTAAATTGCATTACCTATTTGCAACCCCTTCATTCCCCAGAACAACTTTCTTCCGTCCTTATTATACAGATTTTTAAAAAATTGTGGCAGTACCAATCTAGTTGCAGAGATCCTTTACGTTAGGCAACTCACCGTAAATATAAAAGACTGAAGACCATCCTATATACTGTACCAGCACACCTGCCAACGGCATGGCGACCACTGCCCCTGCATAAGACCCTGAGGGACAAGAGGGTTAAGAAAACATGTCAGCTATACTCGACAAGCCCAGCCTTCACCTCAGACAACCCAGGCCGGTGCTCACAGGGGCAGAATCAGAGGGAGGCTTCTGGCTGACTGGCACCGTGATTTCTGGTGAATGTGGAGAATGGGATGGCAACTGCATTTTGCTCAAGTAGGGAGTTGGTTTTCAGATTGAGAACATGGTGAAATATAGTTGTGAGCGACCTGGAGAAAGAGATGAGCATTTAAGTGCTTGGAAAGGAATTTCAGGGAAGACCCTGAGAGAATTCATGCAATCTGGACATTCAGTTTCAGTGCAAGCCAGTGCCAATGGCTTCACCTGTTGCTTTGAATTATTCCAGGAAATGAGATGCCTGTGCTTTTGACATTATGACATGCTTTGTTAATGAACGCCTTTAGCCCAAAACTACTGACAAATACACAGGAACACTTCACTCTACTCATTAGCAAATACTTCTTTGTAGCAGTTCACAGTGACCCTTCTCCCTCTTCTCTGTGTAACTCAGCATTCCTGCGAGAGTAAAAAAGCCTCAGGCATGAACATGCTCACAGAAAGAGAAATCTGGTTAATTGTGGGGGGGGGTCCCAACATTTTTGTTGCTCCTTTTCACCTTTCAGGTAAAAAAAGTGTGATCTGTAGCAACTAAAATGGGTGCTGAGCTGCAGAATGGATCTTTCTCTACCCACTGCTAGGATTTCACAGAGTACTGGGGTGGCAGGGCTTTTTATCCTGTAATCTTTTATAATAAAATTTTTTTAAACCTTTTTTTCGTCTTTTTTTGCTCTTCCTTTCACTCTTCTTCCTATATTCAATACTGTATTTCCCCCAGCCTTTCAGTTCCTAGGTTCTCTATTGAATATTGTCTCTCACAGATATTCTTCCCCAGCCAGCTTTACCCCACCACTAACATTTATTTTCATTGTTTTCTCTTCCCCCTTTCCCAACTGCTCACTCTTCAAAGCCCTACAATTTCAAATTCTTCTTCCATATTATTGTGCATTGACTCAGAGTTCCAGTTTTCCTGTTGCAAATAGGAAGGGATACACCAAAACCAGACAATGAGGGAGTCTTAGAGGATGAGAAATGACGGAGTGAAGTAATGAACAGTGCCTTCTCCTCCACTCCTGACAAGCAGCATATTTGAAATTATAACTGGGTGTTTCAGGATACAAAAGCTGAGGGAATACATTTGGATTGTCTTGTCTTCCTCCCATTTAGCCATCTACTCAAATCCAGCCTGGTGTTTGTAAGGAGATGCTAATGCTAATTCACAGTTCCCTCTGGAATTAGCAGTTAATTGAAGATTCAAGGTTACCAAAAGATGAAGACACTAGATGGGAGAGGGCAGGAAGAAGGGGACAGCTCAAACTAGAATTGGAAAAGGCCAAAAAGGTGCGAGATTCACAATAGTCTTTACTAGCAAGAAACAGTCGTAGCACAGAGAGACCCACAGGGGCAGCTCTTTTCAAAAGTTGGTACCTGGAAAACGATTAAAAGAAAAACTTTTTTCTTCCTTCTGATTAATGGGAATGTAAGGGAAAAGAAGGAATCCTCTTTGACGAACAAGGTGTAAAACCTTAGCATTTTTCCTGCTCCCCATTTCATAGTGACATTTAAGGCTATTGTCACAGGCTAGGTAAGTTCCAAAGGGAATAAGAGAGTTTGATCTATTCCATATTTCCACTGGGTTCCTCTCCCCAAAGTCTTCTGAAATTTCCCACAAAGCCGTCTTTAAGAGAGCTGTCTGTCAGCTCTGGAAGAGGACCCAGAGAAGAGAGCAAATTATGAGTCTGAACATAATTCAAATCAGAGTGAAGCAGAAGCTGGTGGCAACAGATTACATCACCTCCACTTCAATACTTTCCACAAGCAGGCTGAAGTACTCAGGTCCTTCAAAATGTATTTTTAAAGTGTACACTTGATTAGAGGGGCCAATTCAATACATACAATAAATTGAATTCCTAAAGATAAAGCAAATGAAAAAAAAATGCAATTTCTCTCATCTGACACTACTAGACCTGATTTAGTTTGCTATGAGAGTCATTTTAGGGGTGGGTTTTCAATGATAAAGGGGTGAAATATATATATATAAAAAAGATCCTCAGGATCCTGAACTCAGAGTTCAAGTTCAATGGGTATGTGGGCAGGTGCTGCAAAGGGCAGAGTATTTGTATTTCTCTTGTAAATCACAGTATGAATAAAATATGCCTAATAGGAAGTATGGATGGAATAAAACCACAAACTGTATGTGCTGCACGTAAACTGCATAAACCTGCATAAATCTTACTTACCGCAGAAAGATGTGGTTGCTAACCTGCTTCTCTCCAGCGGAGGAGCCCATTTACTCCACAACCCATGGCAGGCTGGGTAGGTGACACCCTGGCGGACATTTCACACATTGTACGATTAGCTTTCACTCCATTCCTACCTCAAGCAGTTGCTGATACTGTCAACCTGTCTAGCTGTCTAACTTAAAATTATAAAGCAATATAATTAAAAATTCATCATTGTAAAAAACATTATGTTTAACAGGAAAGCAGCTTTCCCATGGACATGTCTTTATATAAACTCCTGAACTGAAAACATAAATCAATAAAGCTATGAAACATCAGAGGAGAAAATGAATAACAAGGGAAAATGTAGTTTGATCACAAACCTGACTAAGTATGTTAGGATATTTTAGAATCAAATCTCCAAAAAAACCATGATATATGGAAAGACCAAAACAGTGAGTATTCCTACCTCCACCAGACCTTGAAGAATTCTTACGAACATTACACAACCATAATGTACTCTTGCTGCAGAAGGGATGAACATATTCAGTGTAGATGTTAGAAAAATAGCTGCTCCAAAAACCCTTTGGAAAAAAGTAACATAAAAGGGAATATAATTATTATCTACTTTTCAGAAGGGATGCTGTTCTCAGGTACAACCACACAGCCAATAGCAAATACCTACTATCTTACCAGCACAAATACTTGTGAAGTTAATTATGATGTCCCCTTATTGGCAATGGGGGAATGAGTCCCCATAAAGTCAACATATTTTCTTCTCTGAGGAAACAGGAGTTTCATACATTCTTAAATAAAGCTATTGGATTTTTCTTTGTGTCAGAAGAATAGACATTGGTGTTATTACTGGAGGTTGACAGTGAACACGCTGTGTACAGGAGTCATGAACTGAGAAAGCATTCCTATCCTGGAAAGTACTCAAATCCTGTTAGATGAATAGGTTTTAACTTAAATCAGGTAAACTCTGGATTAAGTGCTTCTCTGAAATATGGGAGTGTGGTGCTTATTTCCACTTCCTGCTGCTAAAATGTGTAACAGCACAGTTTAAGATCAACTCCTTTCTAACATCACTTCTCTGAGTAACACCTACAAAGGTCCTAGGCAGCTATGACGTAGAAGGGACATTTCTACAGGAGAGCTGCTGGGAAAAATATTTTGCACCATATAAACATTTTGTGATCCTACCGGGGAAGAACATCTCCTACGAGCCAGGCACAAGCCAAAGCTCTGAATGCACTTGGGGCCAGGTGCCTTTGGGAAATCTTTTGCAGCCTCCCAAACCTTATCATCTATTAGAGAAATAGGTAGGAGAAACCCCTGCTTAGTGGTAACAGCACCCTTGAAAGTCCAAGCCACGTAGATGTCCATGATAGCACAACCCAGTGTTCCAAGCCAGCTCTGCCTCACTCGCCTCAGTCTGAATGTGAACTCTTCCTGCAGGGGCCTGGGATATCCTGAGCTTAACTGTGCTATATCAATAACGTACAACAGTGACAATAGATATGACCCATTTAGAAACTATCGAAAAATTCAGCAACAACTTATAAGTGCTAAATTGACTTGCTACGTATACGTCATTTGGAAAAGATGTACTGAATTTCATTCTGATATATAAATGATTTTATACAGACATTTGATTTAAAATCATATAAACTGGACATTAGTGGTGCTTCTCTTCCTTTTAATTTTTCTGCCAAAAACCACACACAGGTCTTATTTTGTATGCCTGCTTATCATCTGCCTCTTCAAAATATTTAGAAACTTTTAAAACTTTTTATTGCCAGTTTCATCTTTCTTACTTTTTTTTTAAATAAGAATTTTGATAGTTTACATTTCAATCTCTTTCAGAAAGCATAGTCACAGGAAAGATATTACTTCATTTTTTGAATCTGGGATTATTATTAGTGTAGTATTAGTAAGTGAAGTGCTAAGCTTCTACAGCCAGCGTTCAACACTACTTTATCTAAATTCTGTGCAGCTATTGACAAAAACTACAGTCCCTGCATGGACAGCTCATAATCTGAATAACAAAAAAAGACTTGACAGATAAACACAAAAGCAAAGAGGCTGGGTAGGCTAGGAGAGGGAAGTGACAATGGAATGGAGTTATACAGAAAGTAATCTAAATATCTGAAATGGAATACAAAGCATATGATTATATCTTGACATTTAGGAGACTGCTTTCAAAGCCAAGTAAATATTTAGCTCACAAATAAGTACTACTTAGTTGTCTATTATGATCAGCGAAGGAAAGAGATTTGCACTTTGCTGCTGCTTCATCATTAATGGAAATATCAGATCTGTTATTGTAGTGCTCTTGGCACTCTCAGGGAATTACAGAAAATCATGTAAAATGTAAGTTAAAAAGCAAGTGAAAGAATATGCCATAAGAAAGAGAACATGGTTTATTATCCAAACAGATAGCTCTGAAAACTGAGTTTCCAATCTTTGCTACTTCATTTAATGCCAGCTCTTCATATACCTAGGATGTAAATGCATCATTTGTACTTAGCTAGGCTCAGTCATTCTTTTGCTACTATTTAAGATGGCAAGTAGTGTTTCCAGCATCCTTCCAGCAGTTCATTGCCTTTTATCTGAAATAAGTTGGTCTCCACCTTGGCTAAAAATAGCCCAAGTCTTTTCATTCATTGGCGTATTTTTTTCTCCTCGCCGCTCTGATCCTCGGCCAGCTGCCACCCTGGAATCAAAGCACAGTTCTTTGGCGACGGACGCCTCTGGCCAGCGAGGTGCTGCTACTGAAAACTGATATCAGGAGGTGCCTTATGTTTCACATCTCTTTGTTACTACCAAATAATGATGAAGTTACATTTGGATGCATTTTTGAAGAGAAGCAGCAAGTTAAAGGAACATTGTCACTAAGTGGTTCATGAACTTTTTGGTGGAATGCAGATCTACAAAAATTTGGACAAATGTAAAAAGGGACTTATGTGGTGTCAGATGGTTGTGTGTAAAATTACAAAGCACTCAATATTTTCAGCTGTTCTGAGATCTCTTTGAACCCCACATTATTATAGGTAACTATTTGCATTAGAGAAATATGTGTTTGGGGTCCATACATGTTCAAGGTTTCATAGTGCTGAGCAGGACTTAAACAGATAGCAAACCAGCTTATATCTAAACCTACAATGTGAATAATAGAATGAAATAATACATCTCATTGCCAGTGTGCAGCTGGGACAAAAGCAAGCAGTTGTCTTTCTCAGAATTTAGGTTCGCGGAATGGGCCCAGAGCTCCTTGTTCCCTGCTCTGCACCCTAGCAAGCTCATTTTCCTCCTCTGAAACAGAAACTTAGAAAAGCAATTAAGGGAAATCAATTTGTTTGGCTTATTGGGTAGAAGAAAGAATACTCTATTTAGGCACTTCTGTCTGGTAGGGAAATGAAGAAAGTGAACGCTAATAGTGTTAAAGAAAGAACACAAACTGAACTCAGAGTAACTTTCGGATTTGGTGGAGGAAAGCCGGGACTGAGCTTCAGACTGTGGAACAGCTCTGTCCTGGAGTTATTACCATAAGGGCATTACCATAAGAGCACAAGGGAAGGAAGAACCACCAGGCAGACCTGTAACCCCTGTGACTATGTGCAAGATGCAGAGAACAAAGTAGTTTGATTTTAGGCAAAAATGAATTGGTCCTAAGGAATCTTTTCCAGTTATGGAAGTGTTTTCAGCTAAGTCACTTCATGGTATGAGTACCAACCCTCTTGGAATTCCATCTGTACATCCCAAACCCCCTTCACATGCACATCTTGTTCACAACCAGCTGCCTTCCCTCTCTCTGCTGTGAGTGCATTCCAAGTTCTGAAGCCTTTCTAAAGCAAAGCCTAAAACCAAATTTAGTATTGGTAAAATTAGCTACTTTTACTCTTATTTTCAAAAATGGTTGATATAAAAAAATCAGCCCACAAACACAATAAACATGGAAGAAATCGATACAGATGTGCAGTGTTTGCTAAGCAGAAAATATGAAGCTCTATTAGAAAAATTTTAGGCAATCTTAATCATAGATGTCAGTACTGTATCCAGCCACAGTGAGGATATGCATATGTATGAGTATAGATTTGTGTTTTCAGAATATAAATAGTTCTGTAATTTCTAAATGCCTAGCTTCAAAACTTCTGGAAGGCATTTCAATCCACTAGGAATTCTTAAAAGAGAAAAGTCAAATTTGGTTAGAAAATTTTCCTTTGGTGATAAGTTGAGCTAAAAGACATTATGGTAACTTCTGGATGACAAACGCCAGATCGTGGTCTGAAATACCAGGCATGATTTTCCAAACACGCTTCAGAAAAATAATTGTTTAGAAAACAAGAAATGTGTAAATATCTCAGATAAACAAGCTAAACTGGGAGAATTAGACCCATAGTGGAAATCTGGTTCCAATTTTGGTTATAAATACTGCATTGGACATAAATACTGCATGTTGGATTCCAGATGTGTATCCGTGAAACTCATTTATTCACTAGGTTGGTAATCATCATTTAAGCAGTGTAAAACAGTGATGAGGCTGAAAGCTTTTCATTATTGTTCTCTTACCTGTTAGCAGCTAGTTTGTTTGAAATGAACCCTCCTGGAATTTGCGTCACAATGTAACCCCAGAAAAAAGAGCCATGTATAAGTCCCACCGTCTCTGGATCCCAGTTGAATTGGGCTTTCTGTAAAGCAGACAGTAAAAATACTGTAGGATGAAGCATGCTGATTATGAAATAACCACTGTTTGGAAGTCATTCAGAAGTCATCCCATCTTTCACATCAAGACAGCCTCTTTGCGCTGGTGCTGCTGAGCTTGGATTCCCCCAGTTATAGCAGAAGGATGACAAATTCCTGTGTGAGATTAGTGCTTTTGCTCCTAACTTTCAATCGGACGGATAGGAGAGAGTTAGGTTTCAGTCAGAAGGGAGCTGATACTGGGCCTTCAGCTTCACCTCTTGTCACTGCTGCCTTTTGGGCTGGTTAGTTTTGAAACTAATGTTTCAAACTAATGAAACCTTTGTTTTGGAGCCTATGCTGCGCTCTAACAAGGAGCTGATGTCTTTCAACAGGTGCATCAGTTTCCCTATGATTATCAAGGTTGTCCTCATCCTTTGGGCTGATCAGCTGCCTAGTTGGGCTGGTCCTGTAATATCCACAGCTTTTCTCATCAAGGTCAAATTATGACTGTCCACCATCTGTGTTAAGTGCCATGGAGGCAGAAAAGGCTGGAGGGAGAGTGGTTAACACCTGAAGACAAGCCAGTGTTGGAGCTGGTCAAGAGAGACGCAAAGCTAGAAATAAAGTTAGGTAAAGTTAGCTAGCTGACTAGTTTACCTTTAATTAAATGTGATGCCAGTCATATTAGGGCTAGATTTTTCACACAAAGGCCAGCAACAGGCTGGCCATAGATGGTTCCTAGGGAAAACTGTCTACAGCCAAGAGAAATGCTTTCACCATGCACCTCCTCACTGGATACCAGACAGCTTCAGTCTTCTCAAAGCTCTGCCTAAATGAGAACATTCCTGGTCTCACACCAGCCTGTTTGAAATACTTTGTTCAGAAGAGGGATAGCCAAGGCACAGGGCAAAACAGGGGGTTGGTGAAGAAAAGAAAGACACGTCCAAGCTGCCCCTCCTGCCTTCTCTTCTGAGATGCCAGAACAGGGCCTGACTCAGCATAATTGTACTAATATAAGGTCAGTCTCAACTTTTTCTCCTAAGTTCAGAAGAGCTCAAAAGGTCTCGAAAATTATCTGCTGATTTGAATGGAGTGAACCCAGCCCTACGTACAGCAATGAGCAGCATCATGGCATGTTTCCCTGAGAGACTACTTTTCCTACTTTAGAATAGTCTCTCAGTACCATCTTCCACTCTCATTGAAAGATCAGCAACACTGATCCTGTGACACTTCATGACAAAAAACTGTTATAAAAGTGATTTTTCTTGAAGTTACCTTGCAGTTAAGGTAACAAGCATTGATGGAACAACATTTCTGACTATTACCCCAAGATACCAAAAAGTGAAACAAAGAAAAATCTTATAAAAATGCCTAGCGGGAACTATTGATGCTACATACTGTGGCAGCTAGGGACAAGATGACACAAATCTCATTCAATCATTCTTGCCCTTGGTGTGATTTTTTTCCCCTGACAAAGAGGACAGACAGGTAGCAGAAGTAGTAAAATCTTTTACCGCTGCAACAAAATGTCTATGACTGAAAGATCAGAGACCTGATGGTCATAGGGGCCAAATTCAGTTCTCATTTTTGCCACTTAAATCCTGTACGACATTGAGCAAGATCTTCAGCAAATCCTCAGATCTCACAGATTTTTAGTGTGACTTAGGGACCGCAAAGGAATTAAACACCTACACATCTACGAGAACTCAAACACAAGGGTCTCACTGCCTTGATTTCTGATCTGCACCAGAAAATAGCACCTCTCTATCTCACTGGGGTAATATGAGAGATATGTGAGGTAATTTTATAATTAAAATATATGGTACTTTGACATGTGGTGCTTTGACAATGTTGCAGTGAGGTCCAGATAAGAACAGAGAAAGAAAGACGATTCCTCACCTGAAGCTGTGGCTTTCCATTCACATACACTGTGTTATTGTTCACCATTTCCACAATGGCAACACCCAGGTTGCATCTAATTCCAAAAGAAATGCAAAAGCCAAGACCACTCATTATGGCAATGATGTAGCGCTTGGGCAGCCCGCAGCAGTAGCAGTCGAACAGCACAGGTTTTCGGGTGCTTGCCTGCACAGGCCTCCCCTCTTCAGTCAGTTCAATGTGATCTTCCTCTACATTGGTGCCATCAATTTTCCTAAAAACATTAAGAAAGATAAAATAAAAATGCCTTACTCTGTCAGTAAAATTTGCTGAAATGTAGATAGAGAGTTATATGCTCCATTCAGCCACTAAATCATTTCCTTGCTAGGCATTTGTCTCATGATGCTGTGATGAGTTAGCATCAGGCAGGCTTTTAAATGTTAGTATAGCCTGCATTTTTTCATGAGTAACCTCTCAAGGTTGTAAACCCAAGAAACTTAGCTGGACAGCTAGTTGGAAAAATGCATGCTATTTGTGAGTATGATTATGAAAGCTCTGTTAAGGTCAGCAGAAACTGTGATAAATTCTACTGGTTGTTTTGTCTACATATATATGAAGAAATGCATCATAATTTCTAATTACAGCTGCTAACCAGAGCTGGCAGAAGGTTTCCAGAAAAGGGTACATACAGTACAAAACGTGATTTTGCTCAGCCAAGAGCCTGTTTCACCTGTTTTGTTCACTAGTTTCACCTAACAAAAATCAGGCTAAATTGAAGGGGAAAAGAGGCTTTGGCATCAGAGCGCTCATTTAAGATGTGAAAGAGCAAGGCTCAGGCTTTTCTCTGCCTGAAAAGATTTGAATCCATATGTCCCCTCTCCTCCGAAACATCCTCTTACCACAGGGTTTTAGGTCATTGCAAAATGAACCTCAACTCCTATTGTTGACTGTGTTGCACTTTTGTTTAAAATGCTTAATATTTAATGAGATTTGAAGAAAGACAGGAACTTTCAGGGCTGTTGATTCACCTCTCCTCAGCAGCAGAGACTGAAAGGGCTTCACTGGTAACCAATCTATTGTAGCAACTGCAGGGCAGTTGGAGGGGAATGGGGAGGAAAGGGCAGGGCATGGGGGCTTTCCTGTTCACTCAGGATAAGGAGTGAATGGCACCCACTTACTTACTCTGTGAGAGGCTGCCCACATTCTACCAGCTCAGACCAGTATCTTTTGTCATATAACATTTCAGAAGTATCATCAAGAGGACAGTGTTGAAGATCCTGAATAGGTGTCTAACTTAAGAGGGTGCCACCCCCTGGAGCCCTGTATCATCTGCAGTAGAAAGGAGGTTCCCACAGAGGGCAAACAGCAACTGCCGCCAATGCAAGGAGCACTCCAGACCAATGTTTTACGATGCAAATGATCTCATCAGTAGAACCATTGCCCAACACTATTTCCTGCACTTATGGAAATTTCTCCTATGATAGTGCAATTAAAAATTAATTTGGCCTCCCAGTCTGATTGGAGGTATTAACATCCTGTGCTTCCTAGGAGCAGGGAATGTCTCTGACAGGAAAGATTAGATCGGAAAGAACTGAACGCACACCATTAGACTGAAGCTAAATTCTTCCTTTCCTAACATTAACTTTTTATGTATTTATTTTAAATGCAGAATATGGGCTTTCTGACACGCTGAAACATTTAAGCATGTTTGGCTCTGAATACATGAAGAGCCCGCAAAACACTACTTGCAAGCTTAAAATTAAGTGTTTATTAAAGGAAGACCTTGATCGGCAGTTACATAACAAGCGTAAAGCAGTGAACTTGGGATCCATCTCCTTTCCCATCTGCTATGGAACTACTTTCAGTACTAAAAAAATGTGAACAGAGTTACTTAATCTAAGCGAAGCCCAGCTTGCTGAATAGGATGATGAAATGTTTTAATTAACTCTTTTCTGATAAGGAGTAACTTATTTCCTTCTTTCACACATCTGGCTTGAAGTATATTTTAATCTACTGTGCTTCAGTTGCCATGCTTACCCTTTGCTTGTGTCCTCACATTTGAACAGCAGAAAAGTTAATGTTTTCATATTGATTATAAAGATAGCTCAGAAGATATCACAACGATATCAGCCTACATACTTAAGAGAGGGCCAACCTACGTCATGAGACTGGGTGGGAGACAAACTTCAGAGACACAAGACAAAACAGACATTACAGAATTTGCTGTATTTCTTTAAACAGTGTAGCATCTCCTCACAGGTAGTTAAATATGCTCATCCAAGTTGCATGTTCTGTTTCACAGAGACAAAAGTGAAATTCAAATGTGTCTTTTTCGCAATGAAATGTTTGAAGAAATCTTTTGAAGCTAACAAACTACAACAGACCAAAACAGACCTTATATAAATTGCTTTGAAATTCTGACTTCTTCCACTTGTTGGCTTTAGGTTCATGTAATAAAAAGGTTTTGTCACTTACACAGGCAATACTAAGACATTATTTAAGATGCTGACTCAGGACTCAGCTCAACAAACAGCTGCCTGTCTGCAGTGCTCATACAGTCTCTCATAGAATTACAAGAGAAGGAGACGGTATCCAAAGACTTTTTTTAGTTAATCCCAAAACCTGGTTCGAGTTTTCAGTCTAGTTACTCTTAACTGATGTTATAAGTGAAGTAGCATGTTCTACTCATGTATTTACATTCTTTCCATATATGGATGTTCTACACCTGCCTGATCTACACACAAGCTGGATTGGTCTTCTTTTGGGAGAACAGCATTGCCTAAATTACAGTTTTCTTGAGTTGCTCTAAGTCTAAAGTACTACCTATAATCTAATGCATAGTACTCCATAATAAAGGTTTTGCAAATATATACGGCATATATGGCTTCCTGGGATGCTTCCTGTGGACTTAAATATATTTTTCCAGTATGAAATTTCACTTAAAAATCTCAGCATTTCTAGGCTTTAGAATTACAAGCTAACCAATGCATTACACACTGTCTTACTCCTTTTTATATCGTACCATAAAGTCATTGCTCCAGCCCTATCCTTAGCAACGGGAAAAAAATGCATGCTACAGACCATCAGTTTGCATTTCCAAGAAATGTTAGAATCAGAATGTTTTAGGTCTGAAGGGAACTCTGGAGGTATCATCTGGTGTAACCCCTCACTCAAAGCAGTGCTAACTTCAAGGCTGGATCATTAGTTCATTGTCAAGTTGGAGTGAAGGCTTTGCATTAAAGCAAAGTAACACAGGAAATGCAGTATGTCTATGGTGTTATTGAAAGTGATTGAGATCGTATGATTCACTGGCGGAGAGACAGCTTTTGTTAGTGAAATGAGAGTACAGAGAGTAACGTATCTGAGTAAGGTGCTTTAAAAAGAAGGTACCATACGTTCCATGCTCTGAGAACTTGTATAGCTAGGTTTAAACTGAATGAAATGTTAGAATATCAAAACTGAAGATCACGGGAAGTGAAAAGACAAATGAACTATTATTTATTAGATCCGCTATGGTCTTAAAAACGTTATTAAAAAGGTAAAAGTAGTAATTGTATTGTCTTCCTCTGACATAATCTAAAATATTGATTGAAATAAATCAAAGCACAATTCCTCAAGTTTTTATACTTTTATAAATCTCTCTATTTACATAAGAGTGATTAGATTTTAATTGGCGCATTGTTTTGGACAGCTGGCAAAGATTAGATACATCACGCAAAGCCAAAACATCTGTTCCTACCTGGACATTTTCAGCTGACTGTCAATTCACATAGGCATGAAAACTTCCTTCTACTCCAAATGCACTGTTTAAAGTGACAGCCAGTGAGCCAGGAGTAGCACTTTTGAGTCCAGCATTGCTTCTACATAGAATCGGTTTTGCTATTGGATTCAAACACTTACAAAGAAAAGCAGGTTGAGGACTGATCCACAATCCCAAATCCTAGTAGCATATTTCATGCCTCCAAAGCTTAATGTTAGCCCCTCTGCAACAGATTTGTCTTTGAGAAAACTGTTTTGCAATAGCAATCCAAAAACAGAGGCAGAGTAAAGCTAGCAATTCAGCAGTACAGACATTTAGGGAGCCAGTGTTTGATCTTGCTTTTTGGCCTTATTTTATTGAATGGTGCAGACATACAATCAGGGCTTGACAACTTTCTAAGAAGATGAGAAATATGTATTCCAGGTGATCCATATGTTCTGACAGTGCCCCAAAGATGAAGAGGAAAACTGATTCAGAGCCAGTGCTCTTTTCTAATTTACCTAACTAAAGTTGGAGAGCATTTTGCTGCACCTGAATATGTATAGTCCTTTACATTATTCTGTTTGCTCTTTTCAGCAAACGTGCAACAACTGGCCAGTTAGAAGAGCTAGGTTATTTGAAGAGCTCTGCATCCATGTTCCATGACAGAAGTCATAAATGTTGTATGTATATAAATATACAATTATTCTATAATAATTCTATATTTTATTTGGGATAACTGCACATCAAGCACGTGTACAAATTTCTTCAGCTGACCTTGTTTCTCTTCCTTATTGAATGGTTCTACTCTGGCATGTGCAGAATTTTGGAAGAATAAAAGAAATTTTTAAAATTCAAATCAGTAATAACCAAAATCCTTAAAACACATATACATTCCCCAAACTATTTATGTGCTTTAGCATAAGGATTATCTACGTCATCTAATTATATAACTGGGTGGAGCAGAATTACACTATTTCATTTTGTTTGATTAAAATCACATAGATTCTACAGTAATACACATGATAATACCTACCATGTATTACAATACATTCTAGAATAATTTTTACAGGATATTACAGGCTTTTACAAGCCAGAGCAACTCAGTTTTGCACATACACCATGTTCCAGTCACACACCTATACCTCTGACATTGGTCACCGCACACAACAGTCATCGATGATTCCGGTATACTTTCGGAAACCTATACACTGGTTATCTAAAATTACCATTTATCCAAAAGCAGATACAATCTTCTGAGATCTTGTTTATTCTCTGGGGATTTGCCCAGGTGATAACTGTCTATACCAAATCCTCCAGCTGACGCATCAGTACTAAATCCCAGGGCAGACTGGCAAATCTTCTTTAAGTCGCTCAGTGGCCGAGCGTGGAACCTCTGCGGTTCATTTCTGCCTTATATTCGCGTGAAGAAATGGTATGTCTCAAACACGTATGCACCGTGCGCTGCCCTCCTAGGCAGCAGGGCAGTGCTGCAGTCTCTCCCCAGCACAGACTGGAAGTGCCGCACATGCGTGCCGTGCCATTTCACTAACACCTCCCTATAAGGGGCCTCGCACAATGCACACACCAGCTGAGTCTGGGCACCCCATGCTGTGTTCACAGTGCCACAAGAGCTGGGGTGCATTAAGCTCTCTGCACTCTTTTGCAAAGGAAAAACTGGAGAGGTCTCAGACTATGATCCAGAGCAGTGGCAGCTAATGCAAGGCTAAATCACCCAGATGCAAGTCGCCATTTTTAGTAGATTTGGGTGTCTAAAGCAGCCAGAGCTACACCTACTAGGACCCAGACTAAATGCAGCAGCTGTGTGACCGTGGCCTACAGACTTGTTACATTACTGATGCTATTAAAGAGTTATAAACCCATTTAGTCATTTCCCTTTTCATCAATAAGCTCACAATTGCCATTGGCTGGTCAAAGACCTCTGAAATCCTCAGGGTAGTCAGGACCTGAGATTTAATTTTAGTTCATGGATTTTCCTGTGTAGACACTAAGTACACTTGAAGTCCCAAAGTGCTCATACCTGCTGAATTCAGAAGGTCTGCAGGAGAAGGTTTCTTTTCTGGAAAACTTATAAAGCTTGCAGAGCCCCATCTCTGACATTCATTCACCCAAGTCTTGCTTCCTCTAAATTATTTACTGCTGTCCCATTGTGTTCGACTAATCAAGAGCAAACCATATTTTGCATAAAAACTTATTTTGTATATGGCTATTTTCTAAAACATCTTGGCAATTTATTCCAGATGATGATGATCCAACAACAAATGGGTCTTTTTCTAAGATCTTGCAGATGAAACTGCTGGCAACGGCATTGACAAAGGAGGCGTCTCAGGTCTCTCCTGTTCAGTCTCCATTGCCTGCCCTTCAGGAGCCACTTACCCTGAAGTAACTTCCTGTACTGCAACTGTGTGTTCAGCACCCACAAAATAATCTGAGCGTCCTACCACCTGTGAGGAGACAGTTAGTTGCTTATATTGCATGTGCTTTAGCACTAGACCTTGTCTGTGGGTAAGTGGTATGGAGCAGCCGATAACTGGAAACTGATCCTGTCAAACGCTGGCTTCTGGGATCTACTCTGATATTTGCAAGACAGGGGAAATGTGGGAGGAAGACAGAGACTTGTCACATTTACCAAGGCAAGAAAGCATTTTTCTTTCCAGTTTGCAAGTTTTGATCCTGCATCAACACATGCCAGTCAGTAACATCACCCTCAAAGAACTAATCAAGAATGTGCATTAATATAATCAATCATCCATGAAATGCTAGAAGAGAAGCCAAATTCTTTGCTGATTTACAACATACTGAAGCCAATAGGATTGGATGAAGAGCAAAGTCAAGGTTGAAACTGGTCTTGTAATATATATAGTCTTATATACATACATACCATCACAAAAAAAATGTTACGCTTGTTTGTAGGCTAAGCTGTAGAAAACGAACTTCAGGTTAAACACATACATGTTTCATTCCTTATGGAAACCTTCAAATGTGGCTGAAGATTTCCTAAGAGAGTGCTAAACTTACAGCAATTCTTACTTAGATTGGATTACAGACATAGTAAAAGTAACTTTTTGTTGCTTGGCATTGTTTCCTCCATTGCCTAGTACATCTGTGAAAGGCACTGGTATACTTATGTTTAAAAACAGAAAATAACCAAGTTCAGCAGACCTTCTGATATCTCAATTCAGTTTTGGTTTGGTTTGACTCAGTAGCAATGTTGTTCGAGCTGGAGATCAGTATTATTAGCTACATAGGAACCAGCATGACATCCTTGATACACAGCATCAAGAGGAGAGTAATCCGGATAATCCAAAGCTTGTACAGCATTTCCACATAACAAACCCAGTGTGCTGCTACATTACATACTCACTAAATACAAACCCTACAGGTATTTGGTCCTAGAGGCCAGCAGAACCCACAGCAAAGAGAACGTATGACCGAATAAATAACTTAATTTGATATTGGGATAAAAAAATGCTCCCTTTGATTTCTGTGGAGTTTCTTAAAAGTCAAAAAAGAGAAATTCCAGACTTCGCCCATAACACTGTAAATGAAGAAAAGTTAAGCAGAAACTATGTAGTAGTAGGTACTCCGTTCACATGATATAGAAATTTTCAGTGTAACTAGTAATGTAAAAGTGCATATTAGTAACTTCTTTAAAAGTGTACACTCTTATTTCCTTTCATGTATGTGCTGTAGTGTAATACATGTAAATTACTGTACATTTTCTTAAGACTAAAGGCATGTTCAGATAGGTTAAGGATTTTATCTTAACTGAAAAGAGCATTCCCCCCAAAAAATAACAGGACAGATATGAAAGCAAATATAATTCATATTAAAGATAAATCCAATTTAACGTTGGCATTTGACCTGATCATTGTAAACATTTAAAACAGTTAATAAGAAGCATGCAAGAAATTTCATTGGACCCTTTGGCTGTCATCTAGTGATTACACAAGTAAATGTAGTCAGTGGCCATTACTAACAGAAAAAAAACTCCCAATTAGATGAGCAATCTCTTTTCCTTTATTGCAAGGAGCCATAGTGTAATTTCATTCACAAAAAAAAAAAAGAAAGAAAGAAAGAAAACTTGCAGTTTGTTTAATTGTAAACTTTGAGATCAAGATAAAAATCTTTTATCTTTTTTCTTGCTTTGATGCTAACAAACAGCTGCTTCTCCTGTCTCTCTTTCTAATTTCTGTTAATCTCAATTAACACATACACACACACGTATGCACGCACGCACATCTCTACTGAATAGATTTTTCTCTTAGTGTTTCTGAACAAGATTTTCCAAAATGCCTCAGTGATTTAGGAACATTGAGTCTACTTCCAAGAGTACTGGAGTCATTTGGGAACGTTAATTCCCATTAAATCATCAGTTTTCCTCATGCAAGATAAACCACAGAATTATTCACATGTATTTATTTAAAATATTTTTGATCAAAGCACTTTTTCATGCTCCTTGTGATGTGAGAATGCTATTTTATAACTTACTTTCACCTCTTTTTTGTTTAACGTAGACATGCTATAGTCTACAGTTATATCCTGGGGTAAGGGCGCTCCCTTTTACTCGTCCTCTGTTTTGCAGCAAGGTGTCTCTCGCTGTCTGGACTCACACAGAGATTTCTGCAACTCTAAATTCTGCTTGATATTTATGCTTTTTTTCTGCCCTCTATTGCTTTCTAATAAACTTAACCGACGGATCTGTCTGGGAGCTTGCGGGTGGGTTTTACCTTCGCAGCTTCCCCAGCGAGTCGCTGACGGTGCTCTTCACCTCTTCCTTTCCCGGCGCCAAAACCCCGTCCTTCAGCGAGCCGAACCCCTCGCCAGGCATTTTGTCCATCCCCAGGAAACCCCCCCTGCCATTAACAAGCCTTCACTTCTGCTCTCATTACTCCCCGAGCCGGGAGCCGCCGGCGATCCCTTCGGTGCCCGGCGCGATGAACAACCCAGTTGCTGGAGACAGAAAAAGACAAAAAAAAAAAAGTCAAAGCAGCTTTTGCCGGCGGCGGGAGGAGCGCGAAGCCCCCCGGGGAGGGCAGC